TGCACAGCATACGTTTAGTGAGGGAACAAATGAATATTTGTTGGAAAACAATATATTGTTGGAAAACAATATCCAGTGTTTTCATGTGTCTGAGAATGACAAAGCATGCTACATTATTATAGACAATTTCAGAAGTTACTTTAAAATGTCATTCCTGGCACAAATGCTTTTTAAAAACCTGTGTCAAGAACAGAAAAACTATACATATGCTTAAGGCTCTTATTAGGTAAGATAGGCCAAATTATGATAATCCAACCCTTTCTTAACATTCATGGGCAAACTTTTAGAAGCTGTATAAAGACAGCTTTAGTTGAATGAGTGTACATGTCCTTCTCTATCTCGAAAGTGATCATCTGCGGTGCCTTTTCCCTTATCATAAAGGGGTGCTGGGCTCACTGTCAATGACCAAGGGGCAATGGAACCAGATTCCACGGGGGTTGTGAAATGTAAAGATGTCTGCATCCTCAGCTTCTTTGCTATGACTTATTTTGTCATTGTCCTCTCTCTCACCTTTCTGAAGTATCTGAATTCATTTCTCTGTCACCATATTACACACACCTCTCTGTCACATGAAGACAGTGAATCGGAGGGACTTCTCAGCTCAGCTCAGGGGTTCTTCCTGTGCAGGAGCAGTTTTCCCCACTTAACGGGGCTCTGAAAAGTTGGGCTAGACACCACATCTCTGAGACTTCTTCAAGTTCAAGCGGGCCCCCATCGGACCCTGAGAACTGATGCCCATGCTTCCACTTGTAATGAAATGTGATGCAAATCCTGATTGAACACTGTGAGAATGCTACACTCTGCTTAACTAAATGACTGACTCACTCATGGTTAGAGAAAATCAATAGTTTCCAAAAAACTTGTCATTCTTTTTAAATTATGTTAATGGCAACCTCATGTATCTAAATGCTTGGGGTCACCGGAATGTTTCTACTTTAACAAACATAGGCAGGAGACATGACGATCGATTTGACCAGCGCTTTGGGAACCTGAGCACATCCACACCAACAAACATCGACCTACCCTACCGGCTGACCACCATCACCTCATTTGCCCAGAGTGAGAGAGCAGTAGTGCCTTTTAATTTACATTCTTCTAAATTTCAATTAATTAAAATGTTACCCACCACAATTCTCACTGAGTGTTTTAATTCCTTATTAAGATCTAGAAGAGGCAAATCACAAGAAAGCAATAAGCTGAGATTCAATCTACAAGGCATTTTTCTAGTGCATGTACTTTTCTCAGATTGCATCCAACCAAACTCCACACTGGCATTTTCTGATCCTTATTCAAAAAAGTAAGTTTTCATTACAATCTCTAGAAAGTTTTTGAGCAGACCATAAAATAAAAATTTTGTATACTTTATGTAAAGATTGAGATATCAGAAATTCTTCTAAACATTGACACTTCATTGATGGGTAGGTAGAAGAACTACAAAAAACTTGGGGCTTAAAGTAAAGTCTTTGAGGAGAGCATTTACTGCAAGCTGGGCTAAGACTGAGCAAGGGAGGAACTGTGAGAAGGAAGGGGCCACAAAACCAGCTTACCCAGGGCCAGGCTACCCTCTCCCAAAAAAAAGTAAGGCAGCAATTGGCCCTTTGAGTATCCTGGGAACCACTTTTCATTATTTTGAGAATGCAAATCTAAGGATTTCTGTGAAAGTCTAATTTTTATCAGATCACTTCATCTTGCATCAGTTGAAATTAAAACATACCAACCAGATAAGTAGAACACCCAGCTTTTCAGAAACTTCCCCCAGAAAAGAGGATGCTGTTCTCCACACGATAAAATAAATAAGGGAATAAATAAAATAATATATGTAAGCTAGTGTCAGGGTGATGGATTTCACAGCTGGACTATCAATTTTAAAAAGTCATATAAGCATTCCCTTACCTGTTTTGATATTGATGGCAAAAAAATTCTGAGGATTCCCACTTGTAATCCTGTATGTCAGTTTTTCATTGGAACTAGAGTCAGGATCCTCAGCCTGGATCTGAATGATAGACACATCCTTTGGAGAGTTTTCCATGACAACCGGATAATAAATAGGTTCCGAGGTCAGCGGTGCATTGTCATTCACATCCTCAATTTCAATGTAGACCTCAATAGTGGAATAGAGTGGAACAACGCCCCGGTCTGTGGCATACACTGTCAGCCAGTAGGACCCTGTTGTCTCTCGATCGAGAATGTCTGCAGTAGAAATGACTCCTAAAAGAAAAAAGAGGGAGCATTATTGCTACCATAAAACTGAAAGACATTAAGTAAGTCATCCCAAATTCAGGATGGCTATGCTAAGTAATCTTGGCATATTAAAAAAATCCATTTACATGAAGATGTTTCTTTTTACATAAGAAAACTATTTTTTTTGTAAAACTGTATTATATAGTACTCCTACAGTATGAGAAGTACAATTAGATGCACAAATACGATGTTTGAATTTTAGAGACAGAATCTCAATACATGCATACCCAATATGGAAGAGACAGTAGGAAGCAATGGGAAGAGAGTGGGGGAGAGGTCAAAGTGCTTCCCATGTTGCATGGGAAATTAGAGCAATATCAGGTCAATATCTCCATTTGACCTGATATTGAATTGATTTCCTTTGCAACAAAAAGCTCTCTCAGGGTAAATTATTTCATGTGTTCATTCACAAGAATGAAAAAGGCCTTTCAAATATTCTTTTGTCCATTAGAATAAAAACTACTTCGCATGCAAAGATGTAAGCCTTTTTCATGCTGTTTCCCTGAACATCAAATGTCACATTATTCCAAACAATCAGTGAAGAAGCCACACCAACACACTCTATGAATGAGCACTAGCCCCTTGAAGAACTCTACAGAGAGCCATAAATAAACTCAGAGTTACTTGGAGAGATACTCATGGACAATCATTCAGATTTAGGAGCAGAAAAATGCCTCATCTTCTCCCTCCCACCTTTCTCATTTTATTGTTGAAACAAGTGCCAACCAGGAAATCGGATGTCTGTCAGAAAAGAGAGAGGAGACACAGTGCTCTTCAGTGTCTTTACTGCCCTCACCCAAATCATCAGGCTGCAGAAACTTACTGCAGAAACAGGAATGTAAGCGTATCCGTAGTGATGGGGAATTCTGGGCTCAGCTTATAAAAACTCTAAAGTAGTCAGGATACTCAAAGAAGGCATGGGATTCATGTTATACCCTAAAAAACACCCATGGAAAGAGTCAGAAAAAGTCTTTCAATTCTGACCTGAATCCTCTATCTTCTGAATTCCTGTTGGACTTTGGACTATATTAGGCACATAATTTGGCCTACACACCTGCATAAGCAAATGGCCAAGTATAGCAACTGAGAGGGAGGAGGGCATCTGTCCAGAAACAATTATCCTGAAATACTCAGTTGCCTAAAACTCAGAACAGCTAGCTCTTCAGAGGAGGTAACCCAACTGATGCTGACCTTTCAGCTCCGAAGCTGCCCATCAAAGAACCTGCACCATGTTATGCCATTGGAAAAAAGATAACATTAAATATTCTCAATGGAAAAATGTAAAATACAATGGGTTCCTATGGATTCATGGATGATACCTGAAATTCAGAAATGCTAACATGACATTAGAAGAATAGATTGTAGATATTAGATAAAGAAGAAAAGCAGGGAAATAAAAAATAATGTTTGCAAACATCAGGCTATGTGTCCATTGACAGAATGAATAAAAGGCAGCTGTACAAACTAATTTGAGGCAGGGTCGAATGCCAACATGACATTAAGGTCCAGAAGATCCAGCCAGGTATAGGAACATCTGCAAGTATGGGCACAGGTCCATCACAAAACCATGGCTAGCTCAGTGGAATGCTCGCAGCAGTCATAGCCACGTGCCTCCACATGGACATGGGTGTTCTACTACCCAGGGGAATTGGAGCTCTTCAAGTCAGAGGTTGGTCAAGTGATGAGGAAACCAAGGGGTGTCTGAAATGAAGACAAAGAGTAGGTAGGCAGGATCTAGGATGTGGGACACAGCCTATGAAAAATTCTGTAAATGTGTTGGAAAACACTTCTTGAACGACACCTGTCCATTTAATTTATAAGCATCTGGTGTAGCCTGTGCTGGACACCTCAGAGACAGAGGTAAGTGAGAGAGGATCTCTGTCTTCAAGAGACTAAGAATCTTTCCATGTAGACAGACCCTGAATGAGAAGATCCACACTGAGTGGATAACTGCACAGCTAACAGCCGAGAGGACTCAGCCTCATGTGGTTGAGATTGATACACTGGAAATGCAAAGCATCTAGAACCAGAAGGAATGGGGAAGCAAATGAAAAAGCATTTACTGAGCATCTATGATGTGCTATGAGACTTGCAACACAACTTCCCTATGATGTATATGTTGCAATTCTCTCTTATATATGAGGGCATCATGTATGCTAAGAGTTGAGCAGAATGTTTGCAATGCAGTAGGTGCTGAGCATAAGATAAATCAATGCAAAACAAAAGTAATACCAAAAGCTTTGTAAACAGTAACCACACCCCAAAGCAAGGGGCAACCTTGAGGGGAGGGAAATTTGGGATAGACTACCTTGTTAGATGTTTATTTCTTAACTGGTCATAGGGCATTCTTGCACAGTCTTTGCACCTTGCCCATGACACACTATTTCATAAAAATATGTTTGAGTAACAGAAAAGTAAGTCCACTAAAAAGAGAATGTAACTCAGTAAGCAACAACAGCAAAGAACCTGGTGTTGTTTGTACCTTGCCTGACCATCCACCCCACATGCACTCAGGTGCATTCACATGCACACAGATTTGCAGTCACAGAATTGCTTTGTGATCCCTGGAAGCCACAGAATTCTCTTTTCTTGCACCGGTCAGACTGGAAGATGGCATATCACAAACTTTGGACATTAAATGATTTGGGGAAGTCCTTGGGTGGAAGGCATCCACTAATGCAGATTTTATTGTATCGGTGTAATTTAAACAAAGGATCAGAAATGTTCCCTAGAAGTCGGAATTCTCTCATTAAGATAAACTATGTCTATGGCTATATTTTTACTCATTAACTAGAAGTGTGAATGAGTACCATGGAACACAGTGTTCAAGTGTCAGTCTCATGATCCAAAAACTGGAGGACAAATTTAAAAATGTGACTGAAGTGTGTTAACAGTCATTTTAAGATTATCTAAGGCTGCTACATATTAACCATATCACTACAACTAATATCCAGTGAGAGCACTTCCTCACTTTCTTCTCTGCTCTCACAGGTCACAAATGAAAACTCAAATCTGCATGACCTTGACCTTCAGGCAAACATTTACTTTCGAGGTTGCCCAAGGGTTGCCCAAATCACATCATGAGCCCTTAGCTTTGTGACAACCATCATGCATTCTTTACTACATTTTTTTTAATTGAGGTACAATTGACACGCAATAAACTATACATGTTTCAACAATTTGGTAGGTTCTGATACCCATGAAACCATTAACACAATCAAGATAACAATCATTATCCTTGAAAGTACCCTCTTTCTCATTTTCATCCCAATAATAAATGTTCCCAATTCTCCCTACTGCCAGGCCTCAGATTAGCTTTCTGTCACTACAGACTAATTTGCATTCTCTACAATTTTATAGAAATGCAGTCATACTGCCGTACACTTTTTGTCTGGCTTCTTTCAGTCAGAATAATTGTTTTGAGATTCACCCATATTGTATATAACAATGCATCATCACTTTTCCATTTTGTTTCTAAGTAATATTCCATTTTATGGACATAGCACAATGTTGTCTAATATTGACTAGTTTAGGGACATTTAGGTTGCTTTCAGTTATTGGATGTTACAAATAAAGCTGCTGAGAACATTTACATATGTTCTCTACGGAAATACTGTCATTACTCTTGAGTACCTTGGAGCAGAATAGCTGTTTCATATGGCTGATCTCTGCACCATTTGATATCCCCACTAGCAGTAAATGTGGGGCATCCCAGTTGCTCCTCATCCTCACTTGTGGCACAGTTGGTATGATTAGTTGCCTTAATTTTAGACAGTCTACTGGGTATGTAGTGGCATTTTGAAGTTTTAATTTGTATCTTCCTGATAGTGTTGATCATCAGTCTTTTTCTTTTTGGACAGAGGGGAAGGGAGGAAGAGAGGGAGAGAAACAACAATGTGTAGTTGACTCTCGCATGTCCCCTACTAGGGACCTGGTCCACAATCCAGGTATGTGCCCTGAGTGGGAATAGAATTGGCAACCCTTTGGTTTGTAGGTGGGTGCTCATTCCATTGAGCCACATCAGCTAGGGCAGTGTTGAACATCTTTAAAAGTGCTTATTACCATCTGCATATCTTATTTGGTTAAATGTTCAAATTGTTTACCTATTTTTAAAATTGGGTTGTTTTCTTGTTAAGTTTCGGGAGTTCTTGATGTACGTGGATAAAACTCCTTGTTTACATAAGTGATTTGCAAATATCTTCCTCCAGTATGTGACTTGTCCTTTCATTCTCATAATAATATCTTTTGAAGAATAGAAACTTTTAATTTTGATGATATTCAAATCATCAACTTTCCTTTTGCTGCCAGAGGAAAGGGAGTGGGGGGAAGGATGAAAGAAAGGGAAGGCAGTGGTCAAAAAACATGTCGGAGTGACCCATGGACATAAACAATGGGGTGGGGATGGGCTGTGGGAGTGGGGGTGGGCTGAGTGGAGGAGGACAAACAGGGAAAAATTGGGACAGCTGTAATAGAATAAACAAGAATAAAATAAAATAAAAAGATCATTGCCTAATTCAAGGTCACAAAGGTTTTCTCCTATATTTTCTTCTGGAATTTAATAATCTTAGGTTTTATATGTATATCTATGATCGATTTTGAATTAATGTTTGTAAGTGGTTCAAGATATGGGTCTAAGTGAATTTTTTTTGTATGTAGATATGAATTGTTCCAGCCCCACTTGTTGAAAAGACTATTTTTTGTCTGAACTGCCTTTGCTTTTCTGTCAAAAATCAATTGATCATATGTTTGTGAGTCTATTTCTGAACTCTCTATTCTCTTCCATTGATCTGTCTATCTTTACACTGATATCACACTGTGCTAATGTATTTTCATAGTAAGTCTTGAAATAAGGAAATATAAGTCTTGTTATTATGCTCTTTCTTTTTTCAAATTTGGGCTATTCCAGATCCTCTGTGTTAACATATAAATTATAGAATTAGCCTTAGAATCCATATAAAATTCAGAAAGATTTACTATGATTTTGACTGGAATGACATTGAATATAGATCGTTTTGGACAGAGCTGACATGAAAAATTTTGAGCCTATTGATCTTTAAATCTCTTTTACTTATGTTTTATTTCTTTAAGTAATGCTTTATAGTTCTAGTATGTAGATCTTGAACATCTTTTGTCAAATTCATTCCTAAGTATTTCATGTTTTTCATAGTATCTAAAGATATTATTTTAATTTCAATTGTTAGTTGCAAGTACATAAAATATAATTGATTTTTGTATGTTGATCTTATATCCTATAACCTTGTTAGACTTCTTACTTATACCAGAATTTTTACAAATTCTGTAGAGTTTTCTACATAGATGACTGTATTACCTCCAAATAGGGACAGGTTTATAACCAGTATTGACAACACTATCATCTTCACATCCATTCACTATTAGCCTGGTACTATAGGAGGTGCAACAAATGCATTCTTTATTGTATTTTCTAGACCCCTCACTTAATCATCAAAAATTTATTAGTGCCAAATTTTTATCCCCATACTACAGATAAGAAAACAGAGATTAGGTTAAGTAGCATATTTTTCAGACCATAAGATGCACCTAGGTTTTAGAGAAGGAAAATAGGCAAAAAAATTTTGAAGCAAAAAGTGTGGTAAAATATTTAGTAACATAAATAACATAATATTTCACCAATGTAAATATAAACAGAACTCAACAGCAGCATTAACAACCATTATTCCTCCCAAATTGGGGGGGGGGTGCAGTGCATCTTACAGTCTGAAAAATACAGTAACTTGCTTAATCTATGATCACTCACCCAGTAAATAGAAGTTCTGGTTCTCAGACCCTGGTCTTTCAAACTTAAGACCAGTTATCAACTAAACAGTTGTTAACTATCAATCCATATAGATTTCAAGAACTTCTGGTGAAAATGGAGGTATGGGTAGACACGTTTCACCTCCATTCACAACCATAAGAAGGATCAAAACTAACCTCAAAACAGAAAACACCCAGAACTGCCAGAAAATTTAATCATATGGAAGTCTGACAACCAAAGATTTAAAGAAGCCATATTCATCCAGACAGGTAGAATGGGCAGAGAAGGGGAGCCAGGGCAAAGAAGACACAGTAGGCAGCGGTGAGGTGGTAGTGGCGAGGTGGCAGCAGTGGCAATGGACTGTAGAATGGGTCATCCCACATTCACATGTGACAGATAAAAATCAGGAGAGACACCTTGGGAGCCAGTAATCCCAGCCTCTGGCCAGACCATGCAGCCTAAGGTTCCAGCACTGGAAATATAAAGCCTCATAACTTCTGGCTGTAAAAACCAGTGGGGATTGAGAAATGCTAGTCTCTTGGGAAAGTCCATTTAAAGGGCTTACACAGTCCTAGAATGTATGCAAACCCACCGACTCTGGGAACTACCACAAGGGCAGCACCTAGATGGGTGCCAGTCAAATATGGGAAGGGAGTGAAATGACTGGAAATGGGGTGAGTGCTCAGCAAACCTCCAGCAGCCAGACAGAGGCATTGTCCTCTCTCAGACCCCTCCCCCACATACAGAGCCACAAAGGGGTGGAACAGGTTGTCGTCCACCCCCCACCCCGAGGGAACACCTGAGTTTCTACCCCATACAACATAATAGGTGAGCTAAGACAGGGAGTCAAAGGAGCTCTCCTAATACACAGAAACAAACACAAGGATGCTGCCAAATAGAGAAGACAAAAAAAATATGGCCTAAATGAAAGAACAGATCAAAACCCCAGGAAAAGAGCTAAGAAAAAGAGAGATAGCCAACCTATCCAATGCAGAGTTTAAAACACTGATGATCAGGATGCATAGAGATCTCACTGAGTATAGAAAAACCAAAAGGGAAGAAATGAGGGCTATACAAAGTGAAATAAAGAAAAATCCACAGGGAACCAACAATGAAGAGAAGAAACCCAGGGTTCACATCGATGATTTAGAACATAGGGGAGAAATAAACAGTCAACCAGTACAGAATGAAGGAACAAGAACTCAACAAAGCGGAGAGAATAAGAAGACTCTGGAACATCTCAAAAGGGCCAACATCTGAATCAAAGGGATGCCATAAGGAGAAGAGAAAAAACAAGAAATTGAACATTTTTTGACAAAATCATGAAAGAAAACTTCCCTTATTTGGTGAATGAAATGTATATGTAAGACCAGGAAGAACAGAGAGTCCCAAACAAGATGGATGCCAAGAAGCTCATGCCAAAGCACATCATATTAAAAAGCCAAAGGTTAAAGATAAAGAGAGAATGTTAAAAGCAGCAAGAGAAAAGCAGAGAGTTGTCTACAAAGGAGTTCCCATAAGACCATCAGCTGATTTCTCAAAAGAAACTTTGCAGGCAAGAAGAGACTGGCAAGAAGTATTGAAAGTGATAAAAAGCAAGGACCTACAACTAAGGTTACTCTATTCAGCAAAGTTATCATTTAGAATGGAAAGACAGATAAAGTGCTTCCCAAACAAGGTAAAACTAAAGGAGTTCATCCTCACCAAGCCCTTATTACATGACATGTTAAAGGGGTTTACTTAAGAAAAAGAAGACCAAAACTATGAACATTAAAATGACAACAAACTCACAACTATCAACGACTGAATCTAAAATACAAAAACAAAAACAAACTAAGCAAACAACTAGAACAGGAACAGAATCATAGATATGAAGATCATCTGGAGGGTTATTAATGGGGAGGGAAAAGGGGGAGAATGGGGAAAAAGGTACAGGGATTAAGAAGCATAATTGGGCCCTGGCTGGCCCTGCTCAGTGGATTGAGTGCCAACCCTAGAACCAAAGGGTTGCTGGTTCAATTCCCAGTCAGGGCACATGCCTGGGTTGCAGGCCAATTCCCCAGTGTGGGACACATGAGAGGTTGCCACACATTGATATTTCTCTCC